CAAATAACCTGGGCATCCTGTTGGATATGATAGTCTACATTTGTTTTCTACAGCTCAACTTACAGCTATGTTGTGTTTATTAGAGAAAACAGAGATGTGAATTATCTTTATGCTGCCAGGTGAGGCCTGCCTGATGCTATGAGCATACCTGTCTGTAAACACCCCATATGGAAAGCTGTATCCCTGGTCAGAAACAAATTTTAGAAGTATGTGAATTACCTTTATGCTGCCAGGTGAGGCTTGCCTGATGCTATGAGCATACTTGTCTGTAAACACCCCCATATGGAAAGCTGTATCCCTGGTCAGAAACAAATTTTAGAAGTATTCTATCAGCACAGCAGGCTGTTCTTTGTCCAGTCAGTGACTAAATTTGCACTTGCCAGCATGGCTTTTAAAGCCTCTTACGTACATTGCGTTGCAGTAAATTGGACTGGTCTCAGTATCCACTCACTGAGTTTTAAATTGATTGGTTCATTTGTTCATAGCCTGCTGATAATTGGAAAATGCCTGAAGGAGGACAGAGAGGCAGAGAATTTGTGAGCATAGCTTGCATGCAAAGTTCCTGTGTAGCTTTTTATATGTAGGTTGATTTTATTCATTTTAAGGGATTTGGCTCTATGGCAGCAGTACTGACTGGAGCCTGCTCTCTATCTTAGACTCCTGGTGCTGAAGGCTACAGTGAGTGGTGCAGCCACAGGAAGAGGCTGCTATCTCTGTCTGTAATCCCTTCGGTAATGTGCTTTGCTATCTGTGAAGGAACCTACTGTGCCTCTGTCAAAATTGTCTATTTTTATCCTAGCAGGCACATCTCCACAGGCAACTAGTTTGGAGTTTGCTACTATTATTGACCTGATTTTCCTGACTTTTCCTGGTGGAGCATTTGTAGTGCAATCCTTGAAATGTAGTTTTGATGTATATTTCAATTTTTTCACTATTTTCAATAGTACTTGGAATTTGAAATGGATGTTTGTGGATTACATTGAAAAGCAGCCTTCTCCAGATCTAAGTGAGGTATCTGGACTGATCTAGATCCCAGAGCTGAATATGACCTGCTGTTATGCCAATGAAATCAACTCAGTATACTGGCAAAATTACATGAGAAAGAACATCTCTTCCCCTACTTGGAGGAGTAAAAAGAATAAATACGGGTAAAACATGAGACTAGCTCTGAAGGGCTCCCTTCTACACTTCTTTACAGGCAAATCCGTGACACTGTACACTGGATGTTCAGTGAACCAATGCTTGTTTACTACATTGGTGTGTTTCGAGATGCTTTTTGGCCAAATGGAAAGTTGGCTCCACCACCGAGAGCCAAAAGTGATGAACAAAAGCAGGAGACAAAACAGAGAGCACAGCAAAAACTACTTGAAAACATTCCAGGTGAGATCACTTTGATTCTTCTTAATCATGGATTTAATAACTAATAAGGAAACTGGTTAATCAAATTATTTTCCTGTAGAGTTTTAAATTATGATTATTTGCATAAATAAGGGTGATTTTGGTCTTAGTCTTTGCCTCTCCTGCCTGTCTGGTACAAGGCATGGATTCAGATATTATTGGTGGACGCAAAATCAGAATTGCTGTATTTTTATGCATCATGTTCATCAAGGAATCTCAGTTGATTCTCTCTCTGCCGGTTCTCTGTGACCAAATAGGTGGCTCTGCTACTTGGAATTACTTGCCAAATAGGGAGACTGGCACCACCCCAATTACTTCTTCCTCTTACATTTTAGTTGGAGAGAGAGACACATGCTGTCAGTGTTGTGTGTTGTCTATTTCTGATAAGAGGTCTCAGGGCACTGAATGTTAGAGTGACCTGCAGCCTAGGCAGAAAAAGATCCTAGATGGAGTGTTTTTTTCAGTACTTTTCTTTGCCTACCCTTACTTCCCAAGCCTGGGCCTACCCTTACTTCCCAAGCCTGGGCCTTTTCAGCCAGAATGTTTTTGGGGCACCATTCTGAGATGCTCCATCCTGTCCCACTCACAGGACAGGAAATCCAGTTACATATTTCTGACTCCTCAGAGATCATGTAAACCCAGAGGCACCTAACTGAAAAGAATCAAAATCATTATCATTTAGATCTGGAAATGCACTTCAACATAGCTTGAATGCTTTTTCTATGCTCCATCTGAAGAGAACGAGCTATTTTATGGCTTCATTTAGATATCTCATATACCCCCATGCATTAGGTAGTTCAATCAACTTTTACTGCAAAAAAGGAGTAGGTATGTGTGCAAAATATTTGTCTTTTGATGTGTAAACAACCATTCAATTTACTGCCCATGTTATATACTCATCTACTTACCTAAATAGCCTTCCATAGTTGGTTTGTGGTATTGTTTGATTTCCTGTTTGTTTCTGAGCTTGGAGCCATATGTCAGGACTTAGCTGAATGCACCTTAGATTAATGATGGAGCACTGAATCACTATTTGTTCTCTAATTTAATCCAAAGTGTAAATAATTGACTTAGAATTCTCTTAACTGCCTTCTTGTGGGAAGTATTCTCTATGAAGGTTGAGAGTCAATTAAAGTGCTAAATTTGTTTTAAATGTTGTAGAAGTTGTGTCTTTGGCTTAAGGTGCATTTAAGTGAAAGGTTTAATGATGTGTGAGATGAGACTTGACTTAGTGAGGTGAACTACTGAAACAGCATTTGATGTATTATGTTAGAACACAAAAATGTTCTGAAATGCACACACTGTTATCTGTTGGGTAACTGGAGAATAAGGGTATCTTTTCAAGCTGTGTTTTTAAAAGGTTGGTGAGTAGGGACTCTGTGTATCATGTAGCCAAAGGCTAATGAAGTGCAATGGCTTTGTTTCCCTGTCTTTATGGTTGAACTAGATGATCTGGAAGGCCTCTTCCAACCTTTATGATTGTGATTTTGGGTAGTACAATGATGAATCTGGCTGTAGGTTTTGCGTAGCATGAGTGAAACAACATAAACTGAAGTAATGTTTGTTGCAGATACTCTGCAGAATCTTGTTGGACAACAAAATGCCCGTCATGGTGTAGTGAAAGTGTTCAATGCATTGCAAGAGAGAAAGGCTAATAAACATCTACTTTATGTGAGTAACCAGAAAAGCACCTATTTAACAACATAATCCTGTAAGTTACTGAGCTCTACTCACTCAGTATTAAAGCCTAGGGGATGTTTTTGCAGAGATTAATTTATTGTTAAAATAAGTCAGTTGCTCTAGGTTTGATCACTTGACTAAGTTTGAATAACAGAAGATGTTTAACAGCAGCATTGTTTTTGTCTAAAAGACACATCCTATGTGCCTGACTTCATAAGGTACAAACTAATTTCTTCGTACAGTTTAGAAAATAAGCATACCTTGCAGAATCCTAGAGAAGGACAACTCCAGGACTGGCTCATAGTTAGGATATGACAGCCTTTCAGAAGTTCTATTCCTCAGCTGCTGGGAATAGTTGGAATATGCAGCTGGACACCTTTCACAGTCAGTCTCTTCTGGCACACTCCAGACAGCAGCCTGTCACACAACGCTGCCCCAGCACCAGAGAGAAGGTGCATGCCCTGGGGCTTAGGATGCTATGGAGTCTTCGGCAGAACAGCACCACTTTATACCGGTTAGGAAATCGCCATCTGAATGGAGCTGCCCTCAACACTGCCTCCTTTCAGCCTTAAGACATTTCCCATGTTATCTGTAGGGCGTGTGCTAAACTTCTGGATGAAAGAAGAGTAGTTGCACAAATGATGAATGTAATCAAACCTATGTGCTTCTGTTATTTGTGGTTTTCTAAAAATTACAGAAAGGAACAAGAAATTTGGTTGGCACCTGTAAAACTTTAACTCTTTTCTGTTTTTCAGGTTTTGCTGGAACTGCTGCTAACTGAACTGTGTCCTGAGCTGAGAGCTCATTTAGAGCATCTTAATGCCACTTAGGTTTGAATCTGCACAATTGGACCACTAGAGAAATGTCTATGTTCAAGAATAGACATGAAACTTATTTTCCTCTTTTCCATAGAGGGCTGAGGACTATGATTATTTTTAGCATTTTTCTTTCCTCTTGAGTTTTTTGTGAAGTACAGACTTGAAAAGATCTGATGCTGTTGTAGGGTAGACAAAAAATGCTGTATAGCTGCCAATTTTTATTTAAATTGTTCTATTTGACTACTCCTATGTTTCAAATATAGATTGAAAAATAAATGTTCATATATGCTGAAAGAAACCAGAAGATATTTTAAACATTTATGGAAAGAAATTCTGCTTCTAATGGTAAACTAATGAATGTTGTACAGTTCTAATCTCCTCACTGAGGATCTGAGCATTCCTTTTTTTTTCTTGTGTATTGAAACAGCCTTGTTGTGCAATACTACATGTAAAGCTATTGTGAAAATTTTATCAATTTTGGTTTTACCAAAGATTTCCTGTAGTTTGAAGCATTTGTAAGCAATAAATATCACAACTGGATTGCAGCTTGATAATGAGGCTGTACTGACAACAGATCAATGGGTTTGACAGCACTAGTTTCATAAGAAGTATCTACATTGCTTTGAAGTCTGTGTCAAAATTATGTATTGTAAACTGGTATGTCCTAACAGAATGCCTGTGTTAAATGTTAGTTCAGAGATTAGTGCTTATGAATTGCTTCTATGATGATCAAGTAGACATTTAATTAAACCATTCTGATAACTTCCCTGATATTATTCAGGGCTGTTTTGTTCAAATGCCCCAATTTCAAATAACCTTCAAATCTTTCTCTTATTTTATACAAGGAAAGAAAACTGTCTTCAGTGGTTGGTGGTTTTTTAAAATTTATGTAAAAATATGTACATATGATGTTAATGCACATCTAAATAATTAAACATCATCAAAAATCCCTAGCTGACACTCACTACTGTCTTCTCAATTCAGTACAGTTGTGCTCTTGGAAAAACTACTTGCAGTTATGACTGGCTGTATTGTAAGGTACATACAATCTGTATGATCTATTTAAATCAACATTTTTAGTAACATCTGCCTTTCTGTTCTAACAGTTTCAGAAGAGTTTTCAAGTCGTGGCACAATACTAAGAAGCAAGGCAAGTTCTATACTTACAAAGCTTCATAAGTAAACAGGCATTTAGAAATGTGCAAGCTTACCACAGCAATCAGTAAGTTTTCCTAGTGGTTAATCAAAATGTCTTTCCATAAAAGATCCAGCTTGACATTGCTCAGACATAAATACTCCTAGCCAAAAGATTTCCAACTATTTCTAATACAGAGGCAGTGTGAATGCAATATGAAGAATTGAGGAAAACAGGCCTTGTCTTGGGGATGTATATTCAATATTTCCATACTAATGTAGGGGCTTTTTTTCTACAGTTCTGTAAGTAGTGTTTATTAGTTTTAGAAGCTGGTATGGTTTAAATTGTAAAGCTTGGGGTTCTACTGGACAGTTTCCAACTTTGAGTCTCTGCAATCCAAAAGAAATATGCATAAAGACTTTTAAGTAAATCTAGATGCTTTAGAAAGTATGTGGAAGAAAGTATAAGCACCACTAACAAGTTAAGCTTTAAAAATGGCCATGGCCTGTAAGTGGGCTGTGTGTGAACATGAGACAAGTTTGGGTTCAAGCTTTTCAGAATATTAAAATTTAAATATTATAAATGCAAAAAGGAAACAAACATCTTTCTTTGGTTTTGTTTTGATTCATGTGCTATGTAGCAATATGACATGAAGAAAATACATCTGTCCCAGTGAAATGTCATTAATAAACCTTTGTCTTCAATAGGATTTTTAAAAAATCTGTCTCGGCTTATCTGAGTTAGAGAGCCTTTTTACTTTCTCTTCTAGATAAAATTAATCAGTGAATTGCTTTAAATAATAACTTATAGGAAGTTGAAAAGCAAGCAGTAAGTGATGAACAGTCTAAAATTGCTGGAGATTAATGATGGTTTATTGTAGGAAATATATTTATATACCAGTCACAGTTAAAAGAAACACTAAATTCTCCCAAGATTAGCTGCCAGTTCAAGGTGAGAAGCAACAACAGGATCCAGATGGCATGCCTTTAAAAACAAAGAATATCAGAGTTCTAGTTTATAGCTACAGTAAAATTGTATGTTATCAATATGACAAAGTCTTTAAGTGTCAAAAAATTGAGACAGTCAACTTGCTAAAGTATTGAAGAGTTAACATATTTCGATTTGAATCCATTTTCTGATGCCACTTAAAAAAAAAATAGTATTTAAAATTAGCATACTGGACTATAGTGTTAGTCTTGGCTTTATTTTTTAAAAATTCTGTATGTTGGCATGGCATATGCAGCACCACAGTCAGAAAAATAAATCTGCTTACAGACTGGATGAGTTTCACTTACACCCATTGTCTATTTTAGGACCCTTAGCAATGCCCACATTCTTTTTCTCATCTCTTACAAAACTGACTTGGTAAGTGAGTCAATGGTAGGCCAAAACCAGAACTAATCAGTCAATTAAAATAAAAAAACCTGGACACCTCAACAACTATTTTGAAGTTACCATTTCTGGGAGTTTTCTAGTTCATTTTATGTTGCTTTTCTTTTGCTATTGATTTAGAGACACATGACACCAGTCATAGGAACCATCTCTATATAGTGAGACATTAATGACACTCCCAGACCAGTCTCAGGTGTACAGTGAGTGACTAATGAGTGAAAGCCATGGTCTTTTCAGTTGTGGCAGTTTTATCACACTTTAGAAGTCAGTGGGAAGGGCTACGCTCCTAAAATGCCGTGCAACAATTTAATCCTGATGGACCTCTTCAGTGCCTTAACTAGGAATGATCATAATACCTCAGTTTATGTTCCTGTCCTGATGGCCTTCTCATTCTATCCTCTATAACATTTTTCACAGTGGGAGAACAAAATATTTAAAATGTCTGTATTCAGATCACCTGCTCTGCTAAGCCTTCTCTATCAGTGACTTCCCTGAGTAAAGAGCCACAAAATTTGCTTGATAATTTATAATTTCCATAACTCTCCATTCATTTAGATTGCACCAAGATGGACACCACTGTATTCTACATGCAGAAACAAATGGTCACTACATGCACAGAAACCACAGAGTCACTGAAGCACAGATGCCAAGTTGCCACATTCCCTTCAGCTGGTAAAACTGCCTTGCCTTGGTGCCTTTAGGCATCACTGATATTACTCAACAGGTTAATCTTCTAGAGGCCATTATTAGTATTTTTCCTCAAGCTCATTTTCCATCAGTCTTACTTCAAATTTAGAACTTTGGAAAAAATGTAACTGATTTTTTTTTCCCCCTGTATATATTGAACAGAAAAAGCAGTAGATCCTCAGCTATCATGGAAAATGTAAATATAAAAATATGCATGAGAACCAGTTACGGCCAATTTAATAAAGGTTGTAATTTTTACAGATGCTAAAGTATAAGGAAAAATAACAATTTTTCAGTTGTGAGAGAATGACAGACAGCAAATTAATTTGGGATAAAGTTACTCAGATTGTTTAGCTAATTTATCTTGCTCTTTGCTGTGTTGATTGCCATAGATTTTTTGTTGTTGTTGGTTATATTGCTTGCTGAAGTAGTTGGGCAGACAGGCTATTTTCAAGGCTATTTTTAGTAGTTTTCAGTACCAAACTACTAATAATTTCTATCACTCTACATGTTCTTGCAAATATTTTTTTAACATGGTGTTGGAGACCTTAATGAAATAGCAAGTTTAGACTAGACTCAGATCCAAGGCATCACTCCATTTCACGAGATACAAACCAGTCTCTAAGACTTTCTTGACTTACTTTAGAATAGTACATCTTAGCAGCCTGCTGGTTTTTCTCTGTGCCTCGGCCAAGATGGAGGCATCTAGCCAAGTAGAAAGCAGCCATAGCAGCCCCCTTGGCTAAATATGTTGGATGACAATCAGTTACCTTGGCTAGCATGCTGATGTCCTCATTTGCTGTAGCCCTGTTGTGGAATTTAGAGCATTATGTTAGATAATGCTAGTTCAAGAAATAATTAAAGTTGACCATATATGACTATGACAATGCCTCCTTTCTGCTTACATTGTTATCCAGAATGAGCTGAAATTTACATGTATTAAGCATATGATGAGGATATGATTTTAAGTTAGTCTTACTTGAATATTGTGGTATTAAACAGCAAACAAGTATACAACTTTTGAAGTCACTTTCAATATAGTTATGTTAGTTATAAAAGGCAACATAGTTTATGCTAATTGTTTCCATTAAATTATGTTATGGAAATTGTATGTGGAAGAAAGGCAAACTCTTATTTCCTGTAGTATTTAATGTAGCTTTTATTTCCTCTTATTTCACTACAATCTCATGTACTGGAAAATGTCCCTGCCCACAGCACAGGGCCTGGAGCTCCAGACAGTCTTTAAAGAGCCAACCCAAACCATTCTGTGATTCTAAAATTTTCAGTTCTTACAAGGATATTGGCAAATTGTAGTAATCTGAAAATCTTGGACATATGAGAGCCCCTGGTTACAAAACTCTGTCAGGAAAACCACTTACCACTGTCTCACCTCAATTATTTCCTTTCTTCTGCGTGCTTGCTGTTATCTTAGTTTCAGCATGTTTTTACTAATAATGATTTTAAGAATCAGAGGGACAAAGTGAATGTTGTTTTAACTATCAAGCTAAAAATTATCTAGTATAATCACTATAATATTAGAAAATTCTATAGCTAAGTGGGATTTTTTTTTCTGTTGTCTTAAAACAGATACCCCCAAGCCCTATATCCTTTTCAGGTACCAAACAGTTATTATATGCTTCTTTACGCATGATTTTAGCTGTGTCAAAGTCACAGACGTGACAGAAGAAGGAAAAGTGCAAGTAATTTCAGTTTATAGGTGCTTCCTATAAATGAGTGTTTATGAAAGATTGTTCTCAAATGGCCCTCTGCACATCAGTGCCTGCTAGATCATCTGGAAGTGTTGGGAATGATGTTCTTCCACCTAATTCAGTCCATTAACAAACACAGTAACACAACTGTTCTTGTTTAGCAAGAACATTAAAATAGAACAACAGTAATATATTACCTCTTGTTATTCCTGATACGTAACATATTCCCCTTCCTTTCCAAAAGATAATCTATAGAATGCTGATGCAAATAATGATATCCAGTCAAGTCAGGCAAAAATTCTATTTCAGCACAGCTGACTTCAAGAGCATACCACAGCAATTGGTAAGTACAACTGTGTGGGATAACTGAATTATCTGAAGTGAAGTTTTAGTAGGTAATGTAGACTCCAAATATTAGGCAAGGTTATACTGTACATAGTCACATAATGTTTTATGCTTGTATATAATGTAACAAATGTACTTGCTATGAACATAGATGGACAAATTTTAGCAGAAAAGGTATCAGTGCTTGATCTTACTGGCTGAACGGCTGAGATTTTTGCCTCAAGGCTATCTTCAGTTCTAATTAAGTGTAACTGTTTCAAGTATGCTTTCAGTATTTTACTTCAGAAATGGTCACCTCTGACAATACTCTGGGATCTCATTGCTATTTTCTTCAATTGCAGTTGCAGCTGAGGTGCACTCAAATAAGAGGTGCACTCTTTATTTGTCTTGACAATCTACCATGCAGCATTGACTGGGGGGGTTCATTCCCAGTAAGACAGGCTAGACCAGACTAAGCAGTTATCGCTCCAGTTTGACAGTGCAAAAGAAAGAAAAGCAGCAGTTCAGAGAGAAACAGTCCTTCTCAGCGTGGAGTAGAGCAGACAGCATCCATAGCTGAACTACTGAATTAGCCAGAGCTTCTGCTACTCAGTGGCATGTAGTGCAGCTTCTGTAAGATGGTTAAGTTGTGACATGTTTGCTGTTGTGCAGCAGAAGCTATGTAGACATACCCCAAAAAGCAAGCAGTGTGCAAACAGTCAGTCTATCTGGATCTTATTTCCATCAAGTCAATAATCTGATTGACAGACTGAACTTCTATCAATACACTGGTAAACTCTGGAGGTTTGTCACAGAAATGTGCTGTTCATCAGCCTTAGAACATTCTGCCAACACTGCTCTTGTCCTGCTTGAGGAGTTCAAGATACAGAAGTGGAACTGAAGTGATTGCACTTGTACCATGTTCCAATCAACTGGGGAATAAACCAGGCCAACCAGAGCAGCAACCAAATGTTCCTTAGCTGCTTCCCAGATGAGGACCAGAAGACAACCACCTCAAGTGTATGTGTACGGTGCACACAGCTGGGACCAAACAGGAGGAACTGGAGCTCTGCACCCACTCCAAGTCACACAGCCACAGGAATAACTGAAGCAAGGTGGAGCAACTCACATGACATGACAGAATGATTGTGAAGGATGGCTACAGGCTGTTTTGTAAAGACAGAAAAAGAGGACGAGTCATGGACTGAATTAAGGAGAACCTTGAATGTGGAGAAGTGAACTATGGCAATTCTGGAAGCCTTATTGAATGCCTCTAGGTCAGGATCAGAGGAATCATCTCAAGAGGGATCTTACACTAAGCATCTGTTACTGACCTCTGAATCAAGACAGTAAGACCAATGAGATAATACTTGGGTCACTTAAGTAAGCTTTGGGTAACAAAATCTGGATCTTATGGGTGACTTGAACTACCCAGGCATTAGATGCAAGAAGAATACAGCAACTCCCAGGACATTCATGAAGTTCCTGGAACGGAGCAGTGGAGTACTGCTGCCTCAACCAAATGTCAGATGTGCCAATCAGGAAGGAGACACTGCTTCACTTGCTACTCCCAAATCAAGAAAATCTACTTTGTAGGACCTCAGTGAGTGATAGCCTTGGATGCAGTGATTACCATATTGAGGCTCTGGGATCCTTTTGAGCACTCTGGGGGTTAATACTAACACAAAGGTTTCAGATTTCAGAATAGTAAACTTCTGCTCACAGCACAGTGGGGAGGGTCTCCTTGGAAGCTTCCATGGAGAATAAAGGAGCTAGTGAGTGCTGGGAATTTTTCAAGAATGCTTATCCTGGAAGCACAATGAACTGTCTGTTCATCCCCTCTAAAGGTAAGGAGAGTAGATAGCAAGACCCCCTTGACTTAATTCCAAGTTTCTGAGCCTGCTCAAAACCAAGGGAGAAGCACACCAAAGATGGAAAAGCAAGTAAAGGGAAGTGGTGGGTTCATTGACCTTGTACTCTTTTAAGATGCAGCTGGACAGGGTGCTGGGCCATTGTGTCTAGACTGTGCTCTTGCCAAGGAAGGTTAGACCAGATGATCACTGAGTTGCCTTCCAACCTGGGGGTTCTTTGACACTGTGACTGTAGGGGTTAAAGGGAATGGTGAACCTAGAGGAGATGGTAGGCAAGGAAGGCAGGATTGCATGTGGGCATCTGCTTTGGATTCTAGTTCAAGGCTGTTTTGCTTTATAGGATCAGAAGGAAAAGTTCAGTCATACTGAGAAATCGAGAACATTATAGTATTCATTTTGTCATTGGCTATTCTCTTGTTAAAGACGTTTTGCAATTCATTATCTCAAACATTCCTTGAGTTTGATAGACAGGACCATCATCTTATTAATAATTTAAATCTGTTTTATATGGTCTTGCATGAAGAACCTTAATGAAAAATAGAACAAAAATTACCTTTTGGCTAGTGCAGCGGCTTTTGAATAAAATTTTCTAGTGTAGTAATATTCCACAAGATGGCCTTGAGCATAGGTATTTCCAAGTTCTGTTGCTTCTCTCAAATACTCCAAAGCAGCTTTTGTGTTTTGACGTGTACCTTGTCCATAGAGATACATAATGCCAAGTGCTCCCTTTGATTCCAGATTTCCATTTTCACATGCTTCTGAATGCCAGAAAAAGGCCTAAACAAGAGGCACAAAGTTGGGGTATGTATTTACTTAGCTGAATTTCTTGTATACTGTTTCCATACAAGCTTTAACACCAACCATCCTGTAAGAAGTGCTTATACATAAAAGAAAGAAGAATCCTTGTGAGGCTTTTAAACCTGCTTCATTTAGTCAGAGCTATCAGTGTTACCTGCTTGAATTATGAAGGTTACCAGAGCTGATAAAAATTTAATCCATTCTCTCATTCCCGCTGTTACTCTCACCAAAAAAAAAATAAAAAAATCTTAGCTAGCAGTGTCAAGTGAGTCAAAATGAGGAATTCTGACTATCTGTTCACACAGGCTTAAATGGATGGATAATGTCTAACTACTCAAAATACAACTTTCAGAGTCAAATATACCACTGTATTATTTCTCTGAAATTAAAAATTAGTCATGACTACTTTTTATTTCAAAAGGTAGGGATTTACCTTCTTCATATCTTTTAGAAATGGCATAGAATAAAGCATTCCTAAAGTACTCTGGGCCTTTACACTTGCTTTTGGATTTCCATCGTCTGCAGCAGTAAGCCACAACCTAAGAAAATGGGGACAACAAAGTTTAAGAAACACACAATCTTATAATTTTTCAGGAAAATCACAGACTGCCCTTACCTTTCAGCCTGTTCAGCTGAATGTTTAACACCACATCCTTCATAATATGCCCTGCCAAGATTGTATGCAGCTGCAAACTTCAAGTGACTTGCTTCTGGGGAATCAGAGTTGAGTATTTTATTCATGTATTCCACTCCCCTTCCCTAAAATTGAGCCATATAAGTCATTATGTTCAGACTGTGAAGAGGATGAAATATATAACCTGAGAATGCACTAACTTCTGCCAGACAGGTAATTTTTTCCCCTTTGAAGAAAGGCTGAGCCATACTGGCAGGACAGCTTGGGAAACAGCATCATACCAAAGCAGAACTGATCTTTGGTTACTAGACAACCCCATAATTTTTGACCCCAGCATATTTTTAGTGTGAAACATTTCCTCATAAATGCTCATTTGATACTATATTACTCCTCTTCACTGACAAAATTTTTCCCAAAAATATTATTGTGCTTATGTAAATGAATGTCACATCCTACACTTGTAATATTTTCAATTTCAGAATTCTGAGAACTTTTTAATATTGCATAGTGTATCTGAAATAATAAAACAAACTTAACAAGAAGGCAAAGTGATACATAGTACACTTTGAAGTCCCTGCAGTTAAAATACCTTAGACTCATAAATGACAAAATCTGATAATGTTAAATAAGCAGAACATTGCATATGAGCAACTGGGCCTCAGAATTTAGAAATAAGATTTACACTGTTAGGATTAGCATGGACACCCTGTTTAAATATGCTGGAAACAGTCTTTTATAGAAGGTTTTGCTTTTATTTAGCTTTCATATTGTAATACACAAGAAAGAAAGAAACTTTGTTAAAATGTTTATTTGCAAGTAAACAAATGTGGTAATTATGCAGACATACAGAAAAAATAAACCACCTCTAAACCCCAGTCAGAATGTTTTCAGTTCTGCTGACAATGCTGTAAGCACCAGACAGGATTCCCATTTGTTAATATACTCTCTGGTTCATTTATTTTGGCCTTTTGTCTTATAATCCATCCTTTTATTCCCAATGCTTGTGTTTTTCTCATACCACTTTTTAAGATCATCTTCACCAACAAACTAAAGTCTCCTTATTGTAGCAAAGCATTCCTTTGTCTTTCTTTTTTGTAATAGAATTTTTCAGTTTGAATTCTTCAAATGCTTGCAAATGTAATTTTTCAGGCATCTAACTTAAGAATAATACTGTCAACCACTGGCAGAAGCACAATCATCTCTGGCATCTGTGCTAAAGGAATAGAAAGTACCTTAAAAAAATCTTTGTGCCAGAGATCTTGTGCTTTGAAATATAATTGTTTGATTTCCATTTTGACTCACTTTATTTTCATGTACATAATTTGGTACTAAAAAGTAAAAAAATTAAAGGAATTTTTAACATAGCTTCCACATGAAGTCCAACCACAATCCCTTGAAAGTTAATTTTAAAATAGAAATTACTGTATTTTTTTTATTTCTATTTTATTATAACCATTTTTGAGAACCTCCTCAACCCAGAGCCTTCGTTCTTTAATGATGCTCTGTAAACATCTGCACTTTATGAAACTAACTCTAAATGAAAAGGCTGTAATTCTAAACTAAATAATCATGCTTACAAAGAAGCTCCTAGTAATTATCAGCTAATATCAGAAGAAAAATAAAAAGTGTGCAGCTAAATTACTCACAGGATCTTTTTTAGTGCCAAGTCCATCATAATACATTACGCCAAGCTGATACATTGCTTGAAAATCTGTATCCTGGATTTTTTCAAATTGCTTTAATGCTTCTTTGTATAACCCCTGGGAAAGAGAAAACAAACAATAACTCTCATATATATACAATTTTTCAACCTGCAATATTTCTCTCATGAATGAAGAACAAAAAATTGCAACCACAGAACTGGCAGGAAACAGAGTAAGTTAACAACCAAGAAAGCAGGGTAACCAAAAGCCATTCTGACAAACTTTCTCCCCTCCCACGAACTGTCATCTTCTTAATTTGAGGAGATAAAGTCTAGTTGAGAGTCCCTGCCCCATCTATCTGACATCCTTTAACTTAGGTCAGCTGTTCTTCCACCTCAAGGATTTAACAGTCTCCTTTTTCCATCTCTGCTAAGGGCTGGTTTCACAAAGACTAATAAACCAGATGTTTGAAGACTTTCATGGACCCAGATGTCTGCCACACATTTCTTATGGAAGTATCACCTGCAACAACAGAGGTACTTTCATTCCTAAGACTAAATCTCAGAGATTACTTGCTTCTGCATTAAGTCTGAGAAGAAACCACATTTAAAAATACAGTTAAACTGCAATACAACAGTTAACTGAGCCTGGTGTCCTAACTGAAACATTTTTACACATAAACACTAAGTAAAAACAACAGTGAAATTAAAACATTCTTCTCTATATTTTTACTTCAAATTTTCTGTGTGTTTTGATTAAAAAAAAAAAGATTGCAAAAGCTTGGACCTGAGCAACAGTTCAACAGTCAGTCAAATGTCCTCACAATGACCAGTCGTCCCCTATTAATACTGACCAAGCTATTATCTTATCATAATTGTCTTGGGAGCTTATCCATTTTGATTGTGGGGCTTTGTATTTTTAAAGAACTCTGAGGAAAAAAAAACCAAAACATTTCTTTTTACAACTAGCTGTCATGAATAACAGAAAAAGAAGTACAGGAGGCACCACGGGTGACATTTAATCTCACCTTTCCTGAGAATTTAGTGCCATGTGAAGGAGACACAGGGCTGTGATTAGGAAGTGGGATTTTTTTTCCAATATCGAAAAGTACAGTGCTATGAGCATGTGCATTTTTAGGCACTACAGACATACATTAAAAAATCTGAAAATTAAAACCTGCTCAAAGAATAAATTTAGGGATGTACAGCAATATCTATCATGGACATCCAAGCCAGCTTGTCAAGAAACAGAGGAGTGTGTTCATTCAGCTCCATGGAGTTAAGTGTCAGGTAATTCATTAATGAAAACATTAAGGTCAAGGCCCAGAAAGCAGAAAGCCTGAGTGAGTTAATTCTGTTCCTGCTGCAAACTGTGACACTGATTTACACTGCACCACTGCTGCACTGTAAACAGTACTGAGTCTGTGCATGTCACACTGAAAACATCTGACTCAGTGTTTGTACTACATTCTTTTCTATCCTCCTGAACTAAGTTCTAATTTTCACAGGAAGCTGAGGTTTACATTCACCTGCCAGCCAGTCTTACTCTGTTCCCTGAGGATTTACTTTCAAGGACTTGGATGACCAATTTTAGCCAAACTGGGCAGGGACAGAGATCTTGAAGATAATACATTTCAACAAGTTCCAGTTCCCAGGTGGGGAAAGATCGAATGCTGTGTCTTGGTCAGGGCTCACTCTCACTGTAACTGAAAACAAAGTGTGTTGTATTTGGGCAGTCAGTTGTCCAAAAACCCAACCTGGCTTGGAATTTGGCTATAAGGATAGGCTGCTGCTTGCTTATCTGATCCTTAGGAAACCTGTGAGGGAACTGGAAGATCTCACTACATGCTGGGGAAAGTGTAGCTTATTTAGGGGAAACACCAGGTGATTTTAATGGGACCAAAACAGGCACAGGGGACCTCTTTTAGGTTTTTTTTTTAAGGTGTTTCTTTTTTCATGGAAAAGGTGATGAAAACTGTCTGCTTTATAGTATTTATTCAAAAGAGGGAAAGCACCTGTTCATAGTATCGTTGTCCATCCAGAAAAGGTGCTGGAGGATCTCCACGTGCCTCACTCTCCACCAGCGGCTCCTCCGATTTTGCCACGAGTGCACCAGGGGAGGGGTTCTCTGATTAAAAACAGACACGCGTTTGGGTTTGTCCCCTAAGAGGTGAAAGCTGCCTAAGTACAGCAGAGGTCTGAAGCTGGCCGGGTCCCCTTTCTAATATGTTCTTCAAAAGACTAAGACGAAAGAGAAGGCTCCGTTATAAAACCGAAAAGCTGAGCGGAGACAGCCCGACGGAAACAGTCAGTGAATACAGCCCGACCCTTGTGTGCGTGAAGTCCGCCGTGCCGGAGCTGACAGCCGCGCCTGCCCGCAGCAGGGAGCTGCCGGCCGAGCGGGGCGGGAGCGGTACCTGGCGGCTCCGGCTCCCGCGGCAGCCGCTCGCAGCGCAGCGCCAGCCAGCACCGCCGGCCCAGCTCCCCCGGCAGCCCCGCGCCCGANCAGCCCCGGGCCCGGCCCGAGCGGGGACGGCCTGAAGGGAGCGCGGCCGCGGCCCTCGCTGGTGCCGCCTTCCTGCCGGCCCCGGACCGACCCTTGCAGCTGTGCCCGGGCCTGGCGCCGCCGGCCCCGGACCGGCCCTTGCTGCTGTGCCGGGGCCTGGCGCCGCCGGTCCCGGACCGACCCTTGCTGCTGTGCCGGGGCCTGGCGCCGCCGGTCCCGGACCGACCCTTGCTGCTGTGCCGGGGCCTGGCGCCGCCCTGCCCGGCCTGTGCCGCCGCCCGGCGCCGCTCCATAGCTGGGCCCGGGCTCGCACGGCACGGAGGAGCGAGGCTGGGGATGTAACCACGGCGTTTTCCGTTCGGGCTGGGCTCCACCTGCGGCCGTTGTCCCGAGAGATCTGTCAATACGCCACGGGACGGGCTGCGGGCTGGGCAGCCTCCGGATCATCCCTGCTAGCGCCCGTTCTGTGGGAAATTAACAGCAGAAGCACAAAATGCTCTGCAGAACACTATAGGCAAGAGGAGCAGAAACTCTGAATGCAAGTCAGAGAAAAAGGCACCAGGCCGTGACACTTCAGTCTAGCAGGCAGGACTTCATGCTGCTTCCAGTGATCAGAAACTGTTTGCTGTAATTGTAGTTTGTTTTGCCCATATAGATATTAAAAAACTTAAAAGGATAAATGAGGGAAAATGCTGTTCGAGGTTTCTCCTGAAATGTAAAGCATTGCTTCCACTTCTGTTGATTGCTTCTGGCTGTCTCTCTTACAAAAAGGGACTAATATCAAAATGCATGAAAGTGCTTTCAAAATAATCTTTAGCTGTGCTCCCAGCTTTTTATTTTTTCCAGATGATTATCATCCTTCCATTTTTGGCAGTGTGATCTGTTTCTATAGTGACAGGGACAGAGGCAACAATCAAAACAGGAGAGTGATGCCTTCAGATCTGTGTGGTTAAAACCATGGGTTCAATGTGATGTTTTCCAGCAGTCCCAAGTGACTAAGTACCAAGAAAGGCCTAAAATGAATCCTGATTCATTTTGTGTAGATGATATAACCAAAGAAATCTACAGGAAAAGAAACTTTTTTTTAAAAAAAGCATCAATTGCTTACTTGATTGAACAGGCAGAGTGAAGAACAGTCTGTGAAAGCAGCAGTGCCCTTCAGCAAAGACAACTAATAATGCGTTGCATGGCTGCTTTTGATGCAGAAGGGTGTGAGATTCACCAGTACGCCTTGGTTTATCTGACTGCTTACACATTTATTAGAACCATTTTTCCAATTTAATTTTATTGATACATATGCAAGATGTGTGATCTGAGATACAAAGCACAGAAGAATTGTTTCTAAGTTATGTTCCAGAACAGCTGTAGCCAGGAAGCCTTGTCCTTACCTGGCACTTGGGGCTGCCCCATACAAAACAGATGAGAATTGTAGCTTCTGTGTTTATACCAGTACAAGTACCGGTTATTCAAAAGCAGAAGAGTTTTGCAGGCACTAATGATGTGTGTAAAATGTGACCTGAAGGTCAAGAACTAATTAATAGCAGGAATTTGAAGAGAGTTTTGGCTGGCCAGATGCAGATGTGTGTGTAGTGGCTAGGCTGGAAAGATGAGATTCCTCAGGTGCAGCTTGAAACCTCTGAATTGCTGAGGTAATGTAGGGAGGAGGGATCTTTAAAGCAAAATAAAACCAAATGTACCAAAACACAACCTCTTTGGCAATGCAAAACTATTTAGTCTTAAGCTAATTCTGGATATGTGTGTTTTCAAAAGAATCTTTAAAATTTCATAAAGCTATTTCATCCCTAACAAAGCATAGTTAGGAATGTAGGAATTTTATTTGTTTGTTAACTAATTTGCTTGGCTAGCTGTTAAGGGAAAAACTCAATACAACATTTTGTAATTACACAAAGAAGTGTGCTTCTTTCCATACAAAAGAGAAGAGAAAACTGTCACTTACTGAAACAATTCTGCTGAACTGATCACAGCCTATTTACCTGGATTTTTGCACCTTTAAAAAAATGTACTGTATATGCTCATAGTGCACTCAAATAATTTATATTAGCTCCAATACAACATTTTGTAATTACACCAGCGTGCTTCTGTCCATACAAAAGAGAAGAGAAAACTGTCACTTACTGAAACAATTCTGCTGAACTGATCACAGCCTATTTACCTGGATTTTTGCACCTTTAAAAAAATGTACTGTATATGCTCATAGTGCACTCAAATAATTTATATTAGCTTTCCCAAAGGAGAAGCAGAAGGTAATTTCATTGTGTTTCTGATTTCATTTCAGAACTATGTATGCCCTAAAGGAACACTGTTAGGCTTATTTTTCCCTATCTCTGTTTATTAAAACAGTGACATTATTATTTGTTTTTTAAATACATGACTTTCAATTATTTTTAAATGATAGTAGTGATTATGAGGAACTTCCATAACAAACATGTAGGTATTTGACACAGAAGGAAATACCATAATGCTAAGGGAACAGAACTCTGCACCTTGGACACTCGCCCTCTCTAGGATATTTCAAGCTCAGGTAAGTGACAATCAAAGTTCTGTTTTTGCAAATGTGTTTTGAGCAGAGATGTAGCAGGTGGCAGTGCCCAGATCCACCACTGCCGATTCTATCCTGCTCAGCCTGCTGACGAACTTGCTGCGATGTCTGTGCTGCAGGCGAGAGCTGGGCCTCACAGCATGGCTCGTCCTGCCAGGCCTAGTGGCAGAGCTTGGGCAGGACGATGGAACAGATTTCTTTTTACTGACTTAAGGTTTTTCTTTTTTTTTTATTTTTCTGGGGAAAAAAAATCTAAATTAATTCCCTATTATTTTCTTTCCTAGATCCAAGTCTGCCGTGGTCTAGCCTCCCCAAAGCAGCGTTAAGGTCCGCGGGCAGAAGCACTGTGGCGGCTGCGCCTGGCAGCGGCACAACCACGCGCACCCCAGGCCGCGCTCCGGGCTCGGTGGCTCCGGCTGACGGCGGCAGCGGCGCTTCCAGCGGCGCCCGCTCCCGGCCGGAGCAGCAGCCGGTGCCCGGCTGCCCGGGGCTCCGGAGGGCGCTGCCGAGTGTGTGTGGGAAAACAAATCTTCCCGGACGGAGCCGCGCTGCGGGCCCGGCCCCAGCCCCGAGCCCAGCAAAGAACGGGGAGCGATGCTGATGCTGGACTGCAGTGCAGAGGTGAGGTTCGGGACGGTCTGTCTGTGGCTCTGTCTGGCCGGGAGGGAGCCCAGCTGCGGAACTGAATGAGGTGGTGTTTGCCTGGAGCTGCTGCTATTACTGCTGGGGCACTAGCGCTGTCGATCGGTATTTCTGGTTAAGAGATTAAAAGCCAAAAACCTCTTTCTTGCACTGCTCTTCAAAAAAGAAAATATTTAAAAGGCAGTTGCAAGGAACATGAAGGTCCAGTGGTTTGCAAGGGGAATGTTTTTTGCTGTGATGCAGAATTCTGAGACCTGCCTTTGTTTACACTGGCAGTAACATTTCTTTTTTTCTTTTTATATCCTGTTTCAGGCTGGTAGTTTCAGCAACCTATTTGAGACAGGAACCGGTGTGAATGCACCTGCAGATGCCTCTGGTCAGTCTCCAGCTCACTTGGCTGCTTGCGGTGGTGAAGCTTTCTTCCTACTCTGGCAACTGCAGACAGGAGCAAATTTGAACCAACAGGTAAAAAACACATACATTTTATTCCTTCCACTTCTAATCTGGCATGTCAGTAAATCCACTTAATATTATTGACACACTTTTTAACTAAGAGAGGGTTTTTTTATACTCACTTGTATTGCATGAGATCCCTGGGGTTGCTTATTCTAGAGTAACTTCTAGCATGAACCAGAAATCCTGTCTGTATTGCATTAGCAGCTCCACTTGCAATGTATAATTTAATTTTCATACTTAAGAGTGGTGCATGCAGATGTCCAAACAACTTAATTCTTTTAGACAACTTGAGTATTTATTTTTCCTCCCAAAGTTTGTCCCTACTTCGAGTAAATGTAAGGATTCTTACTTGAGTTGTTTAGTTGAATCCCTTATACCTCTGAGCTGGTAGCAAGCTATTGGTCACAGCAATCCCTGAACGGTGCTAAGAGATGCTGTTAGTCTGTGTAGAGGGCATTCTGTGTAAGTCATCTTCTAGAAGGCAAAGGTTAAACAATGAGTACTGCAGGAGACAGCATTTCTGCTTTGTGGTGATGAATACATTAGACATTTAATGGTAGTTGCCATTACTACACTTGCTATATTCCTTTAATCTCTCTCTCAGCTCACAACAGACTGGTGTACATGAACAGTCATTTTTGAGAACAAGACAGCTTTATCCTACTCCTCTTCTTGCAAATGACTGTTACATATAAATTTTGTTTTTAGGATTGCCTTGGAGAAGCCCCAATACATAAAGCAGCAAAAGCTGGGAGTTTGGAATGTCTTGCTCTCCTTGTTGCTGGTGATGCTAAAATTGAGTAAGTTGAGCAACGTTTAGTAACTTCAGTAAGAGCATCAAAGGATGTGCATTTTACAGAGTACATTTAACTTGCTCAGAACACACGTGCTAAGGCTGCAAATATAGCATAGGAGTATTAAAAACTGACATAAACACCAAAGGAGCACTGACCACATGCTAACACACTGTTGTGTAGCTATGTACCTCTGTGATAACTGCTGAGAAACTCCTGATCATTATCTCACCCTCTTCTTGTCTTTCTGATATGCTAAAGCCAGTAGTAGTCTGATGACAAATTTATTTAAAATAATTATTCCTTTTTGTATTTAATACCCTCCCCCTCTATGAGCTGTATGCTACCCTTGACAAACCTTCTTGGTATTGATTCTCAGTACTTATTTTTATACACCTCCCTAAATCACCACTTAATCAACACTTGCTCATTATTCCAGTTGAATTGGTTATTGTTAATTCTGTATTTCAGCTTGTGCAACAACAGTGGGCAGACAGCAGCAGACCTTGCACTGGATTATGGCTTTCTGGAATGTGCCAAGTTCCTCAGGACAATTCAGCACACTCAGACAATGAAACTGAGAGGACAGTCTGGAAACTCACTAAGTGACAGACATGGCTTGCAGAGAGAGGATCCAACTGCACAGAAACAAGGAAGTGAAACCAGCAGATCCATAAACAGGAAGAGGAGAAGATCAGATGGTGTGTAACAGTGTTAGTTTAATGCAATTCAGGATATTTTTTTTAAATGTTTTTAGCATCTAAGTAAAACAAATGTGTGTTAGACACAGAGCAGTCAGATTTAGAAGCCTCCTAGTAAGGATGAACTTGCATAGGTACTTAAGGTTAGAGTCTTCTTGGAAACGGACAGTACATGTGGAATGCCACTTAAGAGGCTACTTCAACACAGAAAAAATAAAAATCATAGGTACTCTTGCTGATGTACTGATGAAGTAGCTACAGACTTATTTTGTTTCTATGACAGATCTTGTCTCCTAACTGCCAGAAGAAACATCTTGTAATCCCAACATGAAATAAGGGGAATCTGAAGTCTCAAGAACCATGACTGGATGATACACTGAGCAGTCAGATGTGTGTGCTGGGACATTGTCTCCTTCTGAGAAGGAGGAAAGCTTGTTTATTGTTACTTCTTACAGAAGAATTTTGTGAGTATTTTTGTTCTCCCCTGGAATACTTGTTCTCATTCAGCTAAATAAATAAGCATAGAAAAATTAATTCTCTTGATTTTTCTGTGTAAATATGACAGCAAAATTAATAAAATCTAGTAAATATGGCCACTTTTCCACTTCTTTTCCCACTCCTAAAATGTGTCATCAAGAACACCAGCAACAAACAAGGCCTTTGAACAGATTCATAATGGACAAGACAGTTGGCTAAGTGGAACTTGAAAGGCAGAGGACAGTTTATCCTTTTGTCATGAAAGAATTCCACAAAACAAACGGATTTGGCATTTAATCTATAGAGATTCTAGCAGAAGAGGAAATACTATATAAACCTAAAGTTGTGCTATGGAAAAGTACAGAGTATTTGTTGCCTAATAAATGCATTTGTAAGGAATACAGTTCAAAGCAGGTAACTTATTTCTAGAGGTTTCATTTAAAAAAAATATTTTCTTCATTTAAGTCATTCAACCAACATATCTATTTCACCTGGGTTTTGATTGACTTAAAGCATTCTTTTGATAAATAACAGGACAGTTTTATCTAGATCAGCTACTGTTGTCTCAGCGCATTCAGCATGAGAGTGAAGTTAAATAGCCTTTGGTCGTTGAGGTAGGCACAGATTATAATAGGCGTCCTTGTTCCAAAACTCCGGGCCCTTCCATCCACACCAGCCCTGTCCAAGGAAAAGCAAGACAGCTTTTAAATCTACTTCCAATTATGTTTTTCACTATTGAGTCTATTCTTATTTTACTAATCATACTAATCTAATCTGTAGGAATTATTTTCAAATGTCTATAGAATGCAATGACAATTTTCAGAAAGTTCTCTACATGCCTGAAAACACATTACAAAAAGACTCTCTCCTTCTCCCTCCCTTCCCAGTTTAATTCTTAGAAAGTATCTTCTCCTCCCCATCCCCACCTCCCCACTACCTTCTGCTGCTCCTTGAGAGGCTAATGTTACTCTTAAATGCCATCATTCTCTCTAAGTTCCCCTTAGGTCCTCCCTAGAGACTTTTGATGAGGAAAGTGGGTTCTGCATATATTTTATCCTCCTGGACCACTGAACCATTCTAACAGCTAGTAGCTGTAACAGCCTTTGGTCCTACTCATTCTTTGGAAATTGTTTCTTTCTGTGTTCATTTCAAGCTTTGATCATTACAGACCACTAAAATGTTTCTTAAACAGCTCCTTTTTTTGTTTGTTTGTTGGGTTTTTTTGTGGGTTTTTGTTTGTTTGGGGTTTTTTGTTGGGCCTACACAATGGTATCAAAGATAAGAAATAAAAGTTACTATTTGCAACTTAATATGAAAAACAGAAAAGACATTGATTACCTTGCATTTACAGGATGATTCAGCTTCTTTAAGAGTTTACATTTCTGACACTATATTTACTGGTTTGTAATGTGCTGTGTCATCCCTTTTAGTGGCTTTAAATGTGCAAATGACATTACATACTCCTGAACACTTTGTAGTTTTTCCACATTTTCAAAACAATTCAGTACTTACCTGAACAGAACTTTCTGTTTTATTCAAAATACAAAACACATTTATTGTATATACTCCTGGGTAAAAGGGGAGATGGGTAAATTCATACAAAATAAAGAACATGGCTTTGTAGGATAATATGTTGACGTAGTTTCTGATCTGATACATCTCCAAAGATACTAAGTTTCAGAAAGTGACAATACTTAGCATATTGTAGTTTGCAGCTTAACTGGGCTCAGTGCTTCTTCCATATGGAATGGAGAAGCCATAGAATGCCACATTGTATTTGGCTGGACATGATTTGTTTAATGCCAAAATACATGTATATACAGAAATGTGTGAGTATATATGTGCATTAAGCCTCACCTTTTCCAAAATAACATGCAGATCTTCTCCTCCAGTGTAATGTGGGTCTAGAATCAAGTATTTAATGTGCCCTGTAGTCTCATTCCAAGCCACTCCTAATATCGTGTGAGCCAAAACACCTCCACCTAAAATAGGAAAAACACAGATTGCTGTATTTTTTTTCATTTGGATTGATTTAATGTGCAAGGGCTAAATAAAAGTACATCAACACCTTCTATTAACAGATTAGCTTGTACCAAGATGATGCTGAAAGTGTTTCTTTCATAAGATTCTTGACATTATTAAACAATGTATCTTTACTACAGCTAAGAAAGGTTAGTTGTAGTAACTAATGTATTTTCCAAATTTCTTCTAAGTCAGCAAGGCAGGTTAAATTCTCAGCACTTCCACCAGATGAAGTCAAGAATATTTCAAACATCTCTTTTACACTTTTTTTTAAAAGAAACCCAACTGTAGGAAAGGAATCTGCAAAATTTCATGGTTGTAAAAAGACTAAAATTAGAAGCGAAATTGGAATTCCTGGATGAAGTTTATCTGTTGTTTTCTACTATGTTACATCAATGAATATTAGGGGCAGAAAATAGTAAATTCTGATTTCCCTTTCCTCAGCCTAAAAACAAGAAAAGGGGATATTTTGATGACATGAGCACAGGTCAACTCTGGCATGTTTCTTTCAGATAACATGCAATACTTTACTTCCCCGCAATATTGTAGTAATAACTCCACACAGCGCACAGGGATTGCAAAATCCCTGGAAGAATACAAGCAAAAACAATACCCAAACCCCACCCTCAAAAAGCCCAACTCCAGCCCTCCAATGACAACAAAAATTAAAGCAACCTGCAAGAGAGCATTACAGGGAAGGGTACAAAAAGATTTTTCAATATAGGATTCTACATTCTTGACATTCAGATAAAAAGGCTGCTGAAAGGCCAAGAATATTTAACAGAACCATAGCATGGTTTGGGTTGTAAAGGACTTTAAGTATCACCTAGTTCCAAGCCCCCTGCCACGGGCAGGTCACCTCCCACTAGACCAGGTGCTCAAAGCTCCATAAATCCTGGCCTTGAGCCTTGGGCCATGCCCCTGTCTTGGGGCATCCACAGCTTCTCTGCACAGCTGTTCTGGTGTCTCACCACCCTCACATGGAACATTTCTTCCTAATATCTAATCTAAACCACCACCATACCAAAGTCTGGACTTCTGGCACCTCTGTTATGAGGAAGTCACACTGCATTATAGAATGACAAATACAGACTGAAAAATTGCTTTAATTAATGTTATTAAAGTTGAAAATAATAATATCTATACTACTAATTTCCTAAAACACAGCATGGAAAAAACAATTAATGTTGTCATTTTTACAAATGACACTTCTTACCATACCAATATTTAAGATTATTAAAACTGGTCTTAAAACAAATTTGGGTAATACCCTTCTCTTCCAAGCCAGATTAACAGTACTCTTCTCTGAGGGGAAGTTTTGGAGAACTCTATGAACTTCTGCTCCTGTAGAGAATGGAAGTCAGCTCAAGTTCTGACTTAATAAAAATTTATAAAAACATCATTTAGACAGACATTTTTTACCATGTTCAATACTGAGCTTGAAAGAAATACTAAATAAAGAGATACCAACCAGACTAAACTCCATTATTTTTGAGGCTACCTTGGGAAAACTGTAATTTTTAATTCATCTACAGTTTTGATTAACTTTTGTACAGTAAATTAAATGGGTTCTAATTGAAATGAAATTCAGCACAGGGAGGCCATGCACTTTCATTAGCATTCTTCAACACTCAAGTACTTACCAATCATAATTGGAGTTCCCTCAGTCTTGAAATGATTAGCAAGTTCTCTTCCCTGCAATGCTAGTTCAGAACCCTGGCTAGGTAAGAAAAACAATAAGAGATCTGTCATTCTCACTAGGTTTACTTCAGTAATTGTCCATTATACTCATTCACTGCATAGATAACTGATTAGAAAGTCACTTGGATTATTCCTCTGTAAATTTCCTCAGAAAATCTGAAAAACATTTTCTAACACAAGGTCTATTTGCTAAGCATGGAAATTAATACAGACATTTTTAATATTTATTTAATATATTGTCTTTATAGTTCTTTATATAGTGGCTAATCTTTTTAAAACCCAGTGAGAGTCTGTGTCCCTACTTCCCAAGTAGGAATGGATTAAATGCAGACAGAATACAAAACTGGGGAATGGTGCATTTATTATAATGGATCCAGTACCGTGCTGCTGGTGCAGCTGTGAAGTCTTATTTCCATAAAGAATTCGAGATGCTAGCTAGAAATAAGCCCAAGACAAATGTGCTCTCCACTGCCAGTGACCAGCTGAAAAAGCTGCATGATTATTTCTTCTTCCTGGCAGGGTAGTGATGTTGGTTTTTTATAACACTGAGAAAAACTGGTGCCCCCTTGTAGCAGCACTATGAGCAATTCTACCCACTTCAGAAAGGAGTGCATTCTATATTCTCATATGCAGGAATAAAAATCTTCCTACTGGCAGGGCCTGTCACAGCTGCTATAAATAATAGGTGGATCAGCTGCAAGTACAAGCTCTGGAGCAAAAAAAGATTAAAATATTGAAGACCTGAACTATTTTCCTACCATTAAGGATCCCCATTACCATGCTCTTTTAGAATATCTACAGTGTGAATTTACTCTAAATAAATACAACACAGGAAAATTATTTTGGTTTTTTTTTTTTTTAATACATATTGTTAGTGTATGTTCTTAATTTCATGACTGTACTTATTAAATGTTCAGGGTTTTATTAGTCTGCTTAGTGCTTCCTAAATGATAAAAAGTATGGTAGTTTTTCTTCTGATAAATGCTAAAGACTATTCTTTTTGTCCCAAATATCTTTGTAGGATCCTTCATTGTGTATGACAGCATCAGACTGTCAGAATGGAAACAAACTCCTTGCTTTATTTGTCATACAAATGCAAAAAAGGGAACATTATTTTCCAGACTTCTCAACAATTTGCCTCAATCCTAAACTCACAAGTTAGGTTTGTGGCTGCAGTAATAATCTATTTGTCAGTGCACATTCAGTTCTCTCTGAACATCAGACT